CTGCTGTCCAAAGTCGCGCGCAAATACATGTGTATTTGTGCAACGAGCACACCGTCGGAAAGGGTTTTCAGTGCCGCCGGGAATATTGTTACCCCCATGCGATCCTCCCTGAAACCACATAAGGTTAATATGTTGGTTTTCCTAGCGCAAAACAAGGACATGATAACCCAGGTCTAAATCACATTCGTTAACGATTAAATAATATTTCGTTTATTCTCTGTATTTTCACTTAGGCCAACACTTTGTTTTCATGTGATACTTTAGAATTCTTTCGTTTTTCAAATTGGAAAAATGATTTTCTTATTGCTTGTTTTCATTTGATACTTTAGAATTTTTTTTATTTCTTTTGTTTTTTAAATTGGAAAAGGCATGTTCTTATTGCTGTTTGGCATTTAACAATAAACAAAAATGTTTTAAAACGTGTCTCTGTCAGTTAAAAAGCAACAATATATGCTACATGATAACTCAACAATAGAGCTTTGTATGCAGTAAAATCAGGATAAATAAGGTTTGTAAAAAAAAAAAAAAAAAAAAAAAAAAAAAAAAGCGCGCTATTGAGCCACCCATAATAACCGCAAATAAACTTGAATTGAATTTTAATTTAATTTTTTACTTTATATAGATGACAGGGACACTGTACATTAATAAAACATTCCTGTAAATGTACCAGAATTAGCCAAAGGCTATTTTACATCCGTAGTCCCTGGACAAGATGTTACAAGTCACCCTAAAATAAAATGTCATTAAAAATACATACTAAAATTTTTTATAATTACATAGTTAAAATCATACAGTATTCTATTAAAAAAACAATGGGATCAAATAAAGACAATGCAAACAAGATACAATCAATAATAGGATAGCTAGCAAATATAAAATTCTAGTGTTAACAAATCTGAGTACTAATTAACCAATTCTTCAACTGAACCCTAAATAAAGCATATGTGTCTAGATCTCTGATAGTTGTCGGAATAGTATTCCATTCTCGTGCAGCTTTGACAGAAAAAGCAGACTGACTAAAATGACTTCGTCTAAGCGGTATGATACAGTCTCCTCTTAATGCACCTCTTGTAGAATGATAATCAGTTGTTCTAATACTAACTAACTGACTAAGAGGGGGAGAAGATAAACCATAAATAATTTTATATATCAAGCATACATTTGCATACTTAATCATGTTTTCCCAACTTAACAAATAATATTTTTTCAGTATTAGACAATGATGATAATGTACCGATTTCTTTTCGAAGACTCAAAGTGTACGTTTGTGTAAGGACACTAATGGTTTTAGAGTCACTGAACTCGCCTGAGACCAGGTGGTTAAACAGTAAGTCATGTGAGAAATAACCATAGAATACATATACATCTTAGCTGCCTCTAATGACATATAATCTCTAATAAACTTAAAATTATAGAGATTAAACTTAACCTGCTTACAAACCTTTTTAACTTGAGCTTTAAATGTAAGTTTAGAATCAATCAGTATACCCAGATATTTATATTGAGGCATTACCTGCAGCCTCACCCCTGACATGTAAACATCCGGCTATACATCAAGCATACATTTGCATACTTAATCATATTTTCCCAACTTAACAAATTATATTTTTTCAGTATTAGACAATGATGATAATGCACCGATTTCTTATCAAAGACTTTAAGTGTACGTTTGTATAAGGACTCTAATGGTTTTAGAGTCACTGAACTCGCCTGAGACCAGGTGGTTAAACAGTAAGTCATGTGAGAAATAACCATAGAATACATATACATCTTAGCTGCCTCTAATGACATATAATCTCTAATAAACCTAAAATTATAGAGATTAAACTTAACCTGCTTACAAACCTTTTTAACTTGAGCTTTAAATGTAAGTTTAGAATCAATCAGGATTCCCAGATATTTATATTGAGGCACTACCTGCAGCCTCACCCCTGACACGTAAACATCTGGCTCTTTAATAATACTGTTAGACTTAGAGAAAAACATACATACTGTCTGTATGTATGTTTTTTAATGTACTGTCAATTGAATTGACAATATGGTTCCTCCTTATTATTCAACATGGATCAATTCTTTAATGCACATGAGTACATGACACTGATGTACCTGAGAAAGAAATGAACGTACTGCACAGTCCTTCTTGGAAACCACGGAACTTTGTCTTCACTGCCCAACCTCTACTCTAAACTTTATATCTGCTAACTCTTCTTGAATTATGTTTATGTTATGTTTATGTCTGTCTGAAGCTCCATTTTGAATGTTCCTGGTGAGTCGACGTTGCGGAGGGATTTCCTGCGGCTGCAGCAGGAGAATAAGGAGCGCTCCGAGGCCTTAAAGAGACAGCAGGCGCAGCTCGCTGCTCAGCGCAGAGACCCTGAGGAGCACAAACGCCAGCTGCTGCATGACCGACAGAAGCGGATAGAGGAGCAGAAAGAACAGAGGCGTCGCTTGGAGGAGGTATTAGACTTAGACGTGCACATTAAAGTTACTGAACGTGATCTCTTTTCTAACAGGAAATGATATGGGAAGAGTGCCAATCATGTAAGGTGTCAGTATAAACATACTGGCCAAATTTTATTTTATTTATTTTTTGTAAAGATTATTGTGATAGTTAATCAGAAATTATGCTCACTTCCTTTCCTTCATCAACTCTTTCATTATAATGTAAATGAATAAATGACAAGGACTGTCGATCTCCAAAATGACTTTAATATAACTCCGACTGGATTCGTCTGAAAGAAGAAAGTCATATACACCTAGGATGCTTCGGGGGTGAGTAAAACACAGCATAATTTTCATTTTGCGGTGAACTAACCCTTTAAATCTTGATCTATTCATCACTTCCAGAAGTGTAACAGTCCCAGTCTTTATTTGCTTTCATAATGTTTAAAAAAGTGGCCAGTATATTCTTGAAAGGTGTTACAGTTACTGAATGACATGAGGATGAGTAAATAATGGCACAGTTTTCATTGTTTGGTGATCTAATCATTGAGGTATTGTAATTTTTATCTCCTGTCCTAGAATATTCCATGATGTTTTAAAAAACACATACTTCAGAGCCAGTTTTACAGCAGTGTTTGTTTGAACTGCTGAACATTTTTCTCTTATCTAGAGCTGCTCTCTGTTCATTAGAATGAACAGATGGAAGTATCTGTGGAATTTTGTGACATACATATAGGTAGATTTGAGAGAGACAAGCAAGTTAAATGAGTGAGAATTACTGTGCAAAGTCAAACTTTTAATTGAATTAGTTTGAGCGGTCATTGTCCCTGAATGTCTGTGAAAGTACACAATGGCTGATTAGCACTGCATTAGCTGAGTGAGACATGGGGTGAGGAATAGGCTACAGCACAAAGGAGTGTTTGTATTTGTTATGTACTAAGCATCATAAGCCATTATATTCATGTCTGCCTTTATACTCTAAGAGAGATTCTCAAAGTCAAGCCCCTTACAGCTAAGCTAATTAAATCAAGTCCATGTGGGATCAAGACATGTTTGCTGGGGGCTACAGAATACAGCACTAAATTAACTATATATAGTAGGATACAAAAATCTGAGACCACATTGAAAATATGAGAAAAGTAGCTTTAACTACTATGTACTTCAAAAATAAGTGCAATATACTTATTGTGTTCATATTGTATTGCAAAACACATGCTGCTATTGAGTTGGGATATGGGTTAGGGACAGGTTTGGTGGTATGGGTAGGTTTAAGGGTGGGTTAAGGTGTAAGGGAGGGGTCAGCAGTGTAACTATAAATGTAATTACAAAAAATAATTACAGATGTAATTACATGCAGGTATTTTTTTTTTTAAATAAGTACAATGAAAAAACATGTATTTACTGGATAAGTGCATTGTATCAAATTATTCATTTAAATGTAAGTACATAGTAGTTAAAGCTGCAGTCCGTAAGTTTTGCCTCTTTGTCGCCATCTCTTGTTTGAAAACCTGGAATTGCAGCTGTGTGCGGAATTATCTAGCTTGCGTGGGTTGTGAGTCGGCACGGCTGCAGCACGGATGAATCTAATGTTCTAATTCCTACCAGTACCACTCAAATTAGAAAACATTATTATAAGCTAACCGTTGTGAATCGGGCTAAAGTAAGGCGATAGTTTTGAACACTGCCAGGTTATGTACTTGCTCAAATATTGATTTCGGATCATTTTTAACCAAAAAAAAGTTACGGACTGCAGCTTTAAGGCTCCTTAATATAAAGTGGGACCATATTTTCTTTTAATAATACATTACCACAAAAAATTATTTGGGGAGTGTAGGAGTTTTTTTTGGGGTGTGTAGTAATACTTTTATTTATATGTATATGTTATTATATTATTTATAATTTTTTTATTGTATTAAATGCTGTTTTTAACTTTCTATTAGATTAATCCTTTAAAAATTTATTTTTAAAAAACATTAAGCAGCACAAGTAATTTTAACAACGATAATAAGAAATGTTTGAGCATCAAATCATCATATTAGTATTACATTTCTGCAGGATCATGTGACACTGAAGACTGGAGTAATGGCTTCTGAAAATTCAGCTTTGATATCAGGAATAAATTACATTTGAAAATATATTCAAGCATTTTCAGTTGTAATAATTTTTCACAATATTGCCGTTTTGACTTCTTTCAAAAATATTTAAAGGGTTAGTTGACCCAAAAATTAAAATTCTGTCATTAATTATTCACCCTCGTGTTGCTCCAAACCCATAAGACATTCGTTCATCTTTGAACACAATTTAAGATATTTTTGATTAAATATGGCGGCTCTCTGACCCTCCCATAGACAGCAAGGTAACTACGTGACGTCATCACGCTGGATCTGGGTCAGCACCGCCACACGCTTGCGTCATGGTACCGTCGTAAACGCACGTCCAAAGTGATGCGGTAGAGACAAAAATGTGAAATAAAGTCGTTATTTTTGTTTTCTTTGCGCAAAAAAGTATTCTCGTAGCTTCGTAACTTTAGAGTTCAACCACTGATGTTACACGGACTGCTTTGTTGATCATCTTGGTGCTTTTCTGGACCTTGAACGTGGTAGTTACCTTGCTGTCTATGGCAGGGTCAGAGAGCCTTCAGATTTCATCAAAAATATCTTAAATTGTGTTCGAAGATGAACGAAGGTCAGATGAACGAAGGTCTTACGGGTTTGGAACAATACGAGGGTGAGTAATTAATGACAGAATTTTCATTTTTGGGTGAACTAACCCTTTAATAATCTTACATACTCCAAACTTTTAAACGGTAATTAATAATAATAATAATAATAATACTTAGTATGTTTGTGTCATTGATCTTCCATTGAAGCACATTGAATCTTCTTTGGACCTTCTCAAATAATCTTTAGAGAACATGATTATCAAGTTTTACATAAACATGAGGAGTTAATTGTTAGTCTAATTATGTAATTTGTAATTTAAACAAATGTATTTAAAAAAAGCTTTTCACCAGTGGTCTCAGATTTTGTGTTGGGAATGCTAGAATTTAGGTTTGTTGTCCAAAGTTACACACTGTATAGGAACTTTTTTTATTCAGAAAATATATTAATGGACATTTTTTTAAAGAATTCTCCTGTGACGATTTTAAATTTTTTGTCATGCATTAAGCTGAAAGACTCTAAGTTACACACTGTATAGGAACTTTTTTTATTCAGAAAATATATTAATGGACATTTTTTTAAAGAATTCTCCTGTGACGATTTTAAATTTTTTGTCATGCATTAAGCTGAAAGACTCTATATAATTGTTCTTATTACTTTTGTTCTTGTTGTTATTTTTATTATATGTATGTTTTTGTATATTTGTACATATTTATTTATTTTATATATGTAATTTTCAAACAAAATTGTTATATAATTGTTTTGAAATTATATATAGGACTGAATTGTGAAATTTAAATGTTTCCTCTTGCCATGAATATAGCCACTGCTGCTGACATGGCGTTAAATCATAAATAAATAAATAACACACTGTATAGGCCATCCACCAGCACACAGCACCATCTAGCCACTAACCTACTGAGCACAGCGCCGCAGTGCACTGACTCGCCAATATCACTATATTCACCCTTTCTCACCATAACGGTGCCCAGTGTCTTAGTCACTTTCGCTCTCCCTCATTTTAATCTTTTCTCTGGCTATGCTACTCGTTCTCTCCCCCTTAATTTCCCCTCTCAAAAGCATTAGATGATTTTTTTTTTTTTTAGCAGCAGGAAGGCTCTTATTATTTTAGCCAAATATGTTAAAGTGACTCACTCTCTCTCTCTCTCTCACACGCACAGCAACAGAGGAAGGAGAGAGAGATGGTGCGGCAGCAACAGGATAAAGCTCCTCACCGGAGACTCGATGACATGAGACGAGATGAGGACAGGAGGATGGCAGAGAGAGAGCAGGTAACCAATCACAGCCAAAGAACTGCAGCCGGCCGGCCAATCGCGGCAGAGCGTGGGCATTCCACTCAGCACAGCTCTGGCCCTGGAATGTCTGTGGAGTGGTTGCCATGGCAGCAGGCTCTCAAACGCAGTGTGTGTGTGTGTGTGTGTGTGGGTGAGCCGTGTGCAGTCCTACATTCAATACAATTCAAACAGACAGAAACACAAAAGACCAATCAGCATGAATTAGTGCACAGTGTGCCACAGGACACACTCTTCAAAATGACCTCACATGTACATGCCTCGCATCACACTTCCTTCAGTTGTCCTGCTTAAAACAACCGCATACGCAACACATTCCTCAGAGTGACAGGAACCACTTGTAAACACTCGCTGTGCGCCATTTTAAGATTATAAAGCGGTGTGATGTTACGGCTCTACCGCGGTAGGTGAATGAAGCACGTGGAACAAATCTCTTCACTCCGTGTCTTCAGCCATTTTAAAAAGCCCATCAGAAAACTTCTTTAAAATGTCTGCCTCTTTCTTCAGAGGCTGCACACATACAGGTGTATCTGTCCACTCCCTCAAATATCTGTTTATTCTATCCTTTTGAGTCTATTCTGATCTGTCTCTTCTTCCTCCTCCTCCTCCACTGCTCCCCATTTCTCTCTCTATAGGAGTTTATAAGACATAAGCTGGAGGAAGAGCAGCGGCAGTTAGAGATACTGCAGCAGCAATTACTGCAGGAGCAGGCATTGCTAATGGTAACACACACCTTTCTTTCTCTTACCTGTTTCTTTGCTCTGGTCTTGTCAGTCCTCAGCCAGTTTTGACTCATGTTACGGGACTCCTAAATAGTGTTTTAATGATCAAACGACTGCTGGTATCAGAGTAGGGAATTTGGAACAGATTGTTTTTAAAGGGCTAGTTCACCCAAAAATGAAAATTCGCCATTTTGGAGAGTATCCACTGATACGTTTTCTACGTTTATTTACGCTTTGATTTGAATGAAAACAACGTATCCGTGTGGTGCGTCTGACACAGAACAGAATATGCTGTTTGCGTTCAGTGGATACTCTCCAAAATGGTGCTAGGGTGACGCGGAGGAGACGAATTGTTGAATAAAGTCGTTATTTTTGTTTTCTTTGCATACAAAAAGTATCCTCGTAGCTTCGTAAAATTACAGTTGAACCCCTGATGTCACATGGATTGTTTTACCGATCTCCTTACTATGTTTCTGGACGTTGATCATATTCATTACATTGCTGTCTATGGGAGGGTCAGAGAGCTCTCGGAATGCATCAAAAAATATCTTAATTTGTGTTCCGAAGATGAACGAAGGTCTTACGGGTTTTTATCGACATGGGGGCGAGTAATTAATGACAATTTTCATTTTTGGGTGAACTATCCCTTTAAATGTTTTGGAACAGGAGTCTTCAATTATTTTAAGAAAATATGCATTGAAAGAAAATACAGTATTAAGTTAAAGTTAACTAAAGTTAAAAAGCTAAAGCTAAGAAGCCCAAGTTGAGCTAAATGTTTCATTGACCCTCCCAAATTAAAATAAAGCAATAAGTAAACTTAAAATGTATATGTATATGCAAGTAGTATATGACCTTGTACCTTGTAAATAATTATTTAGCTATGTTAATGACTTTGCAATGAAAGCGTTAAAATCAATTATGTAAGTACATTTAAGTTCAGTATGGTACTGAACATGCTACCGTATAAATATGTCCTGAAAACATTTTTTCAGGATTCTTGAATAGAAAGTTCAAAATAACAGATTTTTTTTTAAACTGAAATCTTTTGTGACATTTATAAATGTCTTTACTTTCATTTTTGATCAGTCAAATGCATTTTTGCTTAAAGTAAAGTAAAGTTCATAAAAATAAAAAAAAAGAAACCTACAGACCCCAAACAGGTTCAACCTTCTGGGGTCTGAGGGGATTTTTGGGCCTTGGAGAAGTATAAACCTGATTTAGACCTCTGTTCTAAAGCAGAAGAACCTTTACTAAAGTGAAACTCATCAAACTTGGCTCATTTATGTGTCAAAACCCTGTGCGTGTTTTAGTCAATATATCATGAAGGGTTGATTTGATCGTTTATATTGCTTGGATTGGTTTCATTTTAAATTTGCAGTTTAATTGGGGATACGGTCAAAATATCAATATGCAACAACATGACATAATTACACACAATAATTACATCTCTGTGTACCCAATACACTACGTCTATTTTACAAATTGTTCAATTGCTTTAAATCTTTGAGGAAAGAATTGTACAGTACAGCTAAGGAAATGTTTTTCTTTCTTTGTTCAGTTTAACAGTAAACACTTTGTACCGTGTAAAACTCAAATAATCATGTTCTGTGTGTCATTATTCATTCATTCATAATTATTTCATTTGCATGTTGGGAAGGGGCATATGTTTGTGTGTGTGTGTGTGTGACAGTGTGCTGTGCTATGTAACAGTTTTTTGTGCCTGCAATTCCAGTAGTCACATTTTGCCAGTTAAAAAGGTATTAATTGTTTGTTCATATGTGTGTAGGAGTATAAGCGTAAACAGCTGGAGGAGCAGAGACAGTCAGAAAGACTTCAGAGACAGCTGCAGCAGGAGCACGCATACCTCGTCTCACTGCAGCAGCAACAGCAGCAGCAAGACAAGAAACCACAGATGTATCACTACAGCAAGAACCTAGAGAACAACAAACCAGCCTGGGCTAGAGAGGTACACTTGCAACCGGCTGAGGACAGTAGCTCTCTGAACTGAACTGTCAGAATATAAACTCCTATGTTTGGTTTCTCAGGTTGAGGAGCGCAGTAAACTGAACAGACAGGGCTCTCCTAAAATCTGCACTACAGTGTCTGATACCAATATCCAGTCCCGTTCAGAATCAATCAGCCAATCAGGAGCTGCACAGACCCCACCTATGCAGAGACCTGTGGAACCACAGGGTGGGCAGGGAAAGGTGTGCAACCTGTCTTTTTTTCCCCCCTTTGTAAATCAGTAAAATTTCAGTTTGGTAAACTCAGTATTCATACCTCCAAAACGGTGATAAAATTATTAGGGCTGTCAATTCAAGTACAATTCAGAGTGTTTTTTTGTTTAAAATAATATTAAATAATAATAAAACTGACCTTAAACTTTTGAATGGATAATAATCAGAAGTTCAGAATCAATCAGCCAATCAGGAGCTGCACAGACCCCACCTATGCAGAGACCTGTGGAACCACAGGGTGGGCAGGGAAAGGTGTGCAACCTGTCTTTTTTTCCCCCCTTTGTAAATCAGTAAAATTTCAGTTTGGTAAACTCAGTATTCATACCTCCAAAACGGTGATAAAATTATTAGGGCTGTCAATTCAAGTACAATTCAGAGTGTTTTTTTGTTTAAAATACTATTAAATAATAATAAAACTGACCTTAAACTTTTGAATGGATAATAATCAGAAGGAGGATGCCATCATTTCTGTTCTTTAATGCTGCATGCTCTGGCTAACTCTTTACTCTCTCTGTTTAATGACTTTCTTGTTTCTTCTCTTTCTTTCCTGTGGGGCCCACTTGCTTCCTCTGTAATCCTCCATCATTTTCGGGAACTTCCTCTTCACTTGCATATCCTGCGCTGGATCTTCTACCTTTCTCTGCTACCCAACCCCGGTGGCCTGTTTCCTTTCTTTGCATGACACAATCCTGATTCCATTTCTGCACAAC